GGAGGCGACAGGCCCCGGGGGAGGGCGGCCGGGAAGGCAGGCCGGGGCCGCCAATTCCCCGAGGGACCGTCTGGTCGGACTGGGGGGAGTCTGGCAGCGGACCGCGTTCGTCGGCCCCCCAGCCCCGGCCGCTGACGGGGGGCTGAGGGGCGCCGCCATGCCTCTGCCGCGGTGACGCGCGGGCGGTGAGGAGAACCGGGCGGAGGAACCGCGAGGACAGCCGCGAGGAAGCGAGAGGAGAGCCGGGAGGAGCCGCGCGGTCTCCCCGGGGATGTCCCTCAGGCGGGCGGCGAAAGCGACTCACTCGAGCCCTGGGGTATAGGCCTAGCTTCTCCAGCTTCCTTCCTCCTCCTCCTCCCTGCCCCTCCTCCTCCTCCTCTCCCTCCTCCCCTCGTCGTCCTCCCCTCCCCGGCTCTTCCCTCACCCTTCCCCGCGCCCCCATCTTCCCTCCCTCCCTCCCCTCCAGCAGCGATGGCAGAGGAACAACAGCCGCCAGCACCGCAGCCCGATGCCCATCTGCAGCTTCCCCTCGGTGCCCCCACCCCCGGGGTGGCTCTGCCAGCCCTCGTGCCCGGGCTGCCAGGGCCAGAGGCCAGCGCGCTGCAACACAAGATCAAGAACTCCATCTGGTAAGAGGATCCTCCATCGCAGGGGGCAGGAAGCCCAGGCACATCGCTGCGACGGGTGGGGGGCGGCGGAGGCCGATGCATTTATTGAAGGTGGCTTTCCAGGGTCGTGCATGACTGTGGAAGCCCTGGAGGGCTGGGGGGTTGCATCCTGGTCTACACACGCACGCGCGCGCGCGCACACACAGACACACATACACGCACACACACACGCACGCACGCACACACCATGCTGCCTTCCCCCTCCTCAATCGGGAGCAGATAAACAAGTTATTTGTGCGTTTTTCACTTAGCGTAGGAGAAATGTGGGTCAAGATAAAGTCATGGCATGGTCGTAGCATGGATTTGAAGCTGGACATGTGAAATGTGTTTACTCCTTTTGTAGTCATAGAGGGAGGAAGAAGTGGATTGTGAATTTTCACCGAACAAGACATTGTACGGAAGAGCATTAATATGCAGCACAAAACCGAATTGGTTCTTCCATTCAGTTGGGTTCGCGGCTGTTTCTGGATGCCTTTGCGTTCTTTATTTTCTCGCCGAATTCGTTTCTAGGGAATTTATTTTTTGTGTTGATTGTGAAGGAAGTGCTTATTTTCTATAAAGTGTTTTATTTTAACGTGGTAATTTGCACTGTAAAGTGATTTTTTTCTATGTAAAAGGTCGTGCTATTCTGTATAATTATTAAAAGAAACTATAGATACCTTTTACTAGTCCTATATTGTCTTGTATGACGATTTCTAATATTTCAGCATGAAGTTGAACTCTTAAAGACTCGTGGCAATACTCGTAAATACACCGAATTAAGTCCATCTGCTATTAGAACCATTGCAAATGTTCTTTGGATGTGAACTTGCATTGTTTTTGTGGGAGTTTTTTTAAATTAACTGACATTTTGTAAAAAGTGTAGCACTAATTTTAAAATGGAAAGCAGTATTGGAATTTGATCTAAGAGATTACTTTTAATAGAAGTTTAAAAATAGAATTAAGTATGATGTAAAAAAAAAAAAAACCCAGCCTTGATTTTGAGCATGAATCTGGCAGGTTCATCATTGACGCTTAACTACTAAAATGTCAAAAGTACTCTTTATGTTGCAATTTCAGCACAAGTGTATCATAAAGCAAATGGCATTGCATGTACAGTAGTCACACGTTTCAAGACAGTAACCAATTTTAAATACAAAAGTAAGAGTTGTTATATAGTAATTTTCATTATTTTCTTGGCATGCATCCATATCATGATGCTAATGTGAAGTAGGTAATGCAGCCTTTACTAGTTTCATACTATACAGTAGCTGACAGTTGAGTATCTTGCTTTCAGTTTTAACATGAAGCTTAAATATTTTAAAAGAGGAATATTTTTAGGCTTTGACAGTAGTTATGTGGCAACTTGAATAGGCCAGATGTGTGAGATTGCTATGTGTATTTGTGTGTGTGAAGTACAGGAGGGGGACCTGTGTTCTTCAGTGGATCCCCTCACCCCCTTTTAAAAGCCATAATTAAAGATATGAGTAATTTCCTGCTTACTGTGTAAGTTTCCACAAAACCAGGTGTTTTGTTTATCACTATGTAATGTAACTTAGGGTCCCTGAAATTATCATTGAATTGAATTGGTTTTTATATTGAGATGAGGACATTCCAGTTAGAGAACTAAAATCTTTTTAAGAAAGGCACATTTTAAAAGTGAATTGGTTAGAAGTATTTTATTATGAGACCAAGGGAGAAGACTCTTCACTTTATAATTTTAAAATAAGAGTGAGTTACATAGCCACTGTGAGAAGTGTCTGAATGATGATAGTGGAGTCCCCTTTCTTAGTAAATCATGTGATTTAATTATTCCATTATCAGTAATGATAGTTACATATCCAGTACAACTTAACTGTGCTGACTTTCACATAAGAAAACTTTTTAGATAGAGTACATTTCAATCTTTGGAACTTGCTCTGAAAAACGAATGAGCAAGCAGACACCTTAATATCACAATGTACCATTCTGTATCTTTATATTAAAATTGTAATGACATACTGGCATTTCATTTCCAACTTTAGTAAGTCCATTTGCAGGAATTATTCCTTATTCATTTATATTTAAAACTCCAGGACACACAATCATAGTGGATAATAAACATTAGTGGCTATATTTAATAAAGGCTAATAACCCCTTCTCTATAAGAATGGATTTATAGTATTCATCAAGTGACAGTATAAAACATAGATATAATAGTGATTGCTATTATCTTCTAAGAAATAGTATATATATATTTAATTAAAATTGATTTTAGTAGATGTAATTGCAGTTCTTTTGGTATGTCATTTCATATTTTTCAATGCACTAATATTTTTCCTCCATCTTAAAAACTCACTTGGTAATATGCTGAGATATCAGTTTTGTATTGTTTCTATGCCATCCTTTGGTATTATTATTATTAGCAATTAAAAATTGATTCAAGGGACTGAAGATATGGTTGAGCAGTTAAGAGCACTGGCTGCTCTTGCAGAGGACCTGGGTTTAGTTGCCAGCATCGACATGGCAGTTAACAACCTTCTGAAACTCCAGTCCAGGGGATCCAACGCCCTCTTCTGGCCTCTGAAGGCATTGCATGCATGTAGTGCACTTAAATAGATGCAGGCAAAGCACTCACACACAAAATAGAAATAATTTTTTTTTTTAAATTTGATTCCAAAGAAATGTGGCATTTAGAAATGATCAAATGGGCTTGGCATTTAGGTTGATCATAGTCTCTAAATTACTGGGCTTGCAGATCACAGACAAGTCTGTACTTGTCCTCCTACTCCACAAATATAAATAGAGTGTGTGATGTTGGCCTTTAGCTGGACAGTGAGTTATTTACCATCTCAGTTCATAATTAATTTATTCCATTTATTAAAATGCTATGTGATATTCCATTGTAATTTCAAGCATTAAATATGTCTTTGCAAAAAAGATTAAATGTAAGTATTCAAAGTTGAGGCCACAGTACTTAATGAGACTGGAAACTATTTCTTAGCAGTTGGAATTATTATGTAATTGTAAAGGAATTCTAGAAAATAAAGATTCTGCTAACTTGATACTGTTATGTTTGCATTAATGCTTATGAATATCTTCAAATTAAGCCTAGGGTTACAAGTCTGTCGTCCATTTCTTAACTTATTCCTTCCTATTCCATAGGTTCAAATCACTTACATGCTTCACTGGGAGGGAGATTTATAGAGATGTTTTGATACTCAACAGGCTATAAGAATGTTATTTAAATTTGGAAATAATATCATGTAAAATAATCTCTTTCTTAAAGGACAAAGGAAGAAAAGGAGGGAGAAAGGACATGGTAGATCCATGTAGTTTTCTTTTTGTTTTTTTTTTTTTAACAGGGTTTTGTTCTGTGGCCCTGGCTGACCTGGAATTCATGATCCTCCTGCCTCAGACTCTCAATTGCTAAAATTACAGGCCTGTGCCATCATGATACCTGGTTACTCCTATCTTTTTTTCTAAAGGAAGATTCATACTGGCAACCTGAAACGAGGCTCCAACCAACTTAACTATGAACTTCTTTAGTCGACATTGCTCCACCTCTCTGGTTACTTAGATTATTAAAGCATGTTTTCCCTTCTTATCTCTCAGTGTCTTCATGGTTGAAAAAATATGAAAATTTGTATTTAGTTTAAACAACAATAAAAAAGTTTTACTTTTTTCTTTTTAAAGATGTTTTACTTGAAACCATTATAGAATTGAAATTAAAAAATAGAATAGAAAACACTATATTTGAGATCTCTTCTATCTATTTAGTTACCTTTAAGAATAGATAATGTGCAGGGAATGTAGCTAGGGCAGAGCCTTTGCCTAGCATGTATAAGTCTCTAGGTTCAATCCCCAGATATTCAGCACCATATGAAAAGGAAAAAGGGGGGGAGGGAGGGAGGGAGGAAGGGTCATACCTACATGACTCATTTGCTATTATGCTGTAACCTATATAATAAACTTTTACCTCAAAAATCAAAAGAAGACCTGTTTTATTGTAGAAAGTAGAGATTCTTTAAAAACTTAGTCTTTGCCAAATGCTATTTTTATCTATGAAACTTTTTTTCAAGTAAAACCTTATAAATCTTTAAACAGTAAGATGTATCATTAGTCTGCCCATTTTATGTAAAGAAACTGAATGATGGAAGCTATGGATTTCTGGATTCATTAGCAGACCCTAGAAACAGTGCTGGAGGGTCAAGAGTTCCTAGTCTCTATTTTATTCTGATCTGGTCATTTTAGACTTAGAATTATAATCTAAGAATTGTTTTGGACATTTCTAAATTCTCATTTAAATCCCAATTAGTTTTGTTTTCTTATTAATGACACGACAATAAACATCTCAACATTAAATGATTAATCTTGTTTCCATCTCACTACAGTGAGAAAAGTATGGAGCTCTATAAGGTTTGCATAATAATACCGTATTAGTCCTGATTTCTGTCTTCTGCTAGAACTCAGTAGTTAGTTCAGTTTTGTTCTTGGGCCATGCAGTTTATTAGCTCTGAGAGAAATAATTGTTCATCCAACTGTAGTAGCAAACAGGTTCTGTAAAATAGCTCACATCTTTAGGAGTTCAAGTTTAGGCTCTTCATTTTGCCCTGTGTATATTTTAGTTTAGTTGGTTAACAATGCTATCTACCTTGAGTTTAGCCACTCTATAATACAAAGGACTTAATTTGCTTGCCTGTACTGAGGCCAGCTGCGGTGGTTGTGTCCCAGCACTAATGGCTCTGATTCCAGAAAAAAGGCAGTTCTTTGCTTTCCTATGATTTGAAACTAATCAAACTTGCCTGTTGACCAGAAAGGCAAGTTAAGCAATTTGAAGCCTGTCAGATTTCTGGTCCTGTTTAGCTTAAGTAATGATATATATGTGTTTAAATAATTGACCAGTTTGCTCTCCGCACTGGAAAGTATCTTGAATGATGGTATATGCAGAGCTAATTGGGCTTCTGTTTCATTACTGGTCTGGGGGATTTAGGGAGAAAATG